ATCGCGCCGTGACCGTGGAGTCCTACCGACGATCGCGCCGTGACCGCGAGTCATACCGACGATCGCGCCGTGACCGCGAGTCATACCGACGATCGCGCCGTGACCGCGAAGTCCTACCGACGATCGCGCCGTGACCGTGAAGTCCTACCGACGATCGTGCCGTGACCGCGGAATCCTACCGACGATCGCGCCGTTACCGCGGAGTCATACTGACGATCATGCCGTGATGGCGAATCATACCGACGATCACGACGTGACCGTGGAGTCCTACCGACGATCGCGCCGTGACCGCGAAGTCATGCTGACGATCGAGCCGTGATCGCGAGTCATGACAACGATCATGCCGTGACTCGAGTCATACCGTCGATAACCCCGTGAACCCGGAGTCATACCGACGATCGCGCCGTGGCCGTGAGTCATACCGACGATCGCGCCGTGACCGTGAGTCATACCGACGATCGCGCCGTGACCGCGAGTCATGACGACGATCGCGCCGTGACCGCGAGTGATGACGACGATCGCGCCGTGACCGCGAGTCATGACGACGAGCGCGCCGTGACCGTGGAGTCATGCCGACGATAACCCCGTGACCGCGAGTCATGACGACGATCGCGCCTTGACCGCGAGTCATACCGACGATCGCGCCGTGACCGCGAGTCATGACGACGATCGCGCCGTGACCGCGAGTCATGACGACGAGCGCGCCGTGACCGTGGAGTCATGCCGACGATAACCCCGTGACCGCGAGTCATGACGACGATCGCGCCTTGACCGCGAGTCATACCGACGATCGCGCCGTGACCGCGAGTCATGACGACGATCGCGCCGTGACCGTGAGTCATACAGACGATCACCCCGTGACCCGCGAGTCACAAGTTTCTATAGGTACCTGTAAATTGTTACCCATTTTTTGGTTTTTATAGATCAGTGCCACAAATGGTAAAAATTGATTTCGTATGTCTTTTTTGGTAACTGCAATACAGTAATTTCTTTTTATGCACAGAAAAAAATCCCGTCCCGTCCCGTCCCAAAAATCGGGAAGGAAATAAAAATCCCGTCCCGTCCCGTCCCGAACTAAAAATTCAATCCCGTCCATCCCTACTTCATACCTTACGTCCTAAGGTGGCCGAGGTGGGTACGGTTGCACCTGAACTCGCCGCTCTCTTTCACGACATCTTTAATACTTTAATACGTATTTTAATACCTATCAATGAAATTTCGACCTGTTAAAGATTGGTGACAACCTCTTGGAACGAACAAAATACATGGTTTGTTAATCTCATATTCATCGTGTTTCGAAATTCTTTAATAACTCACTTGTATCAAACAGCTACAAATAGCTTCACTGTCCATTCACCGCACCTTTTTTTTAAGAACATAAAAGTAAATAATAAAATAGGTAAACAAAAATGTAAACAAACAAAATATATTGTCAATTGCATTGGCCAGCTGTTGTTCACTAAATTAATCGAATAACGTTCAAAACATGCAAGGCGCAGCCCTTTGGAAATTAGCCTGTGGGGCAGAGCCCTTAGGGAGTTCGTCAATATCAATACTTTTCGGCAAATCTACACACTCTAAGCTTCATTTTGATATGCCATATGCCCATATTTCTATTTGGTAAATGGCCTTAACCGTTTACATAAAATTTGATTGTATCACTTTAATAATATAATAGATAAGAATACCACCACATAATCTAATAGTATACACTAGGCTAATAGTTGTTTAATAGACAAAAGTATCTTTATTACTGAACTCAATCTGTGTACAACTTGTAAATAATTCAAATGTAAACAATAACAATAATAACATAATATGACATATGATTATACACAGATAAAGGAATACTTTTAACCAAACATGCCCCTTTTCACAAATCTAATTTTTTTTTTTAGCTTTGACTATCCTGGTTCTGGTACGTTCAATGAAGGGTCGAATATACCACGAATTACGACGCAACTTTCTCCCATTTACTTCAACAATGTATGATCTGTTTCCCAGCACATCAACTATTATACCTTCTTCCCACTGAAGGTTGGAAACATTCCTGATTAATACTTTTTGTCCCTTCATGAAAACACTGGCTTTATTTAGTGATGTTTTATTATACTGCATACCCTGGCCAAGTTTGCTTGTCACTTCTTTATCATCAATAATCTGTGGTTTAAGTTTTGATGGTATTACAGGTAACTTAGTGTTCAGAACTCTACTTTGAAGTAGTTGCGAAGGAGAATACCTCAGATTCGCAACTGGAGATGACCGATAATTTAGAAGATATAAACTGAAGTCTGTTTTCTCATGCTTTGACTTTTGCAACATTGACTTAACTATGCCTACTGCTTTTTCCGGGAGTCCATTACTGCGAGGATAATGGGGACTAGTAAACTTTACTTCAAACTTCCACAATTTACTGAAGTCAATGAATTCTTGAGAGTTAAATGGGACATTGTCACTTACAAAAATACTTGGTATTCCAAAACGAGCAAAAATTGGCTTCAATGCAGTAATGACAGTAGTTGATTTTTTATCTCGAATACACTCAACTTCAATCCATCTTGAGTAATAATCTATTAACACTAAATAGCTTTGATTGTCGAAATCGGCTATGTCTGCTGCTACCTTGTAAAAAGGCATGTCAAAAACTTCATGAGGTTGGAGTGGCTCTTTCAATTTCGCTCGCATAAACTTAGCGCAAGTAGCACAGCTGTCAATAAGATTTTTCAAATCTGAAACTAATCCAGGCCAGTAAACAAGTTCTTGAGCTTTCTTCTTTAACTTGTTGAATCCCAAGTGAGTTTCATGGAGTGTCTGTAAAGTATATCTTCGCATAGATGGTGGCACTATCAACCTTTCGTTAAAATACACTAGCCCATCTTGAACTGTTAGGTCATTTCGTATTCTAAAATAATGCATTAGTTCATGGTTATTCGGCGAAACTTTGCTGGGCCAACCTCCTTGATAAAACTGCATAACTTTGTATAAGGATTCGTCTTCATTTGTAGATTTTATGTACTGATCCATTGTTTTTACATTTATTGTAACTTCATGAACTGAGTGAACAACATCCAACATACTTTCATCTTCTTGTGATTTTGTAGGAGCACACTGTCTTGAAAGAAGATCTGCAACATATAGTTTATTTCCTGGAACAAAATTCACACTGCGCCATGTTTAATAGACAAATGTATCTTTATTACTGAACTCAATCTGTGTACAACTTGTAAATAATTCAAATGTAAACAATAACAATAATAACATAATATGACATATGATTATACACAGATAAAGGAATACTTTTAACCAAACAATAGTAGTTTTTTTATATTGATCAGAAGCAAATCTGGCGTTGAGTTTGGTCAATGGGATGCCTTTACTTTACACTATTTTGTTAAACCTTTACAAAAGCAGCATAAACTTAGAAATAATAACTGGGTCGGGGTGCTGATTTAGCGGGTTTGACCAAGTACTAAGCTTATCTCAACACACCTTTATTTGCCTTTTCATATTTGACGAAGAAAAATTCCAGTATTTCAATTAGGGAAGCCTTTTTATCATCATTAACCAAAAGATCAAAGCTACCTTAGTAAACCAACATTTATTCACAAACATTATGTTTGCTGCCTTAAGCAGAGTAAAACCTCTGGAGTAATTAAAACTATTTATTGAAAATAACATAATAAAAGCAAACAAAGACGAACAACGAACTGTTTTTTACACAAAAGATATGGTGTACAGGGATACCTATCCTGACACATAGATAATTTAATTCTGATTCTGAGTTTGTTAGCGAATTTCCCAAGCTATTACCGTAGTACTCATGGTAAGACCTGGACCCGGGACCGATTTAATTTTTCATTTTGAGGTCCCTAGAGGCCAAAAACACCATCCGTTCAAATTTATATATATAGACCTATATAACAATACTTATATACAGTTATTTACAAACAAAAATTACAAATTATTTACTTAAAATTATTTATATATATATATTTGCGCGATAACTCAAGCAAAAATTATCCGATTTTGATGAAATTTGGTACAAACGTGTAAACCTACATTTATTAAAACGAGTTCGCGATCCAGCACAATCGGACCATGGGAAAGGGGGTTTATAGGGGATTTTATGGGGTAAAAATGGGGTTTTCCCATTTTTGACCCTAAAAACAAAAAAATTTGCAATTTCTTTCTAAATCGTTTTGTAGAGCTTAAAAATATTAATGATTTAGTATATTGAAGTGCTGTTGTATGCCTAACGGTCACGGAGAAAATTAAAAAATAGTGTAATTTAAAATACAAATGTCATTCTGATGGAGAAAATGAAAATTGTTGTAGTTTACTTGTTTATGGATATATATTGATACAATTTGGCAAGTTTATTTATTTCATCTTATACTATTGACGTATGGTCAAAAAACACTTTTTACCTTCCCCGTAGCAGTAAACCTAAGCACTCGTTAAATCTAATGTTATTTAAATAGGAATAGTCTTATTTATAGAAATATTTTAGTAAAAATGTAATCAGACAAGTAGAAATTCGCTTAGTCTGCAGGTTTGCTGCGGCAGGGGTATTTAAATATTACAATAAGTGGTTTTACATTTGAGTTTTTTAGGGACTTATGTCCCTATAAGCCACTAGTGTGGTTTAATTAGTATTAAATGGAAGTTGTTTTAATTTTTTTTTGTGTCTTGTGTTTTTTGGCTTGGCATTCATGATCACTAGTTTTTCTAATAATTTATAGTAAAATTAAGTTAGTTCTATTGTTTCTATTTTTTAGTGTTGTGTTCTCACTTCTATGCCAGTAATAGTAAAACCCAAAGTAAAAACTCCACACCAGCCACCAAGAAGCTGCAATAGCATAAAATATTAGATTCACAATTTGAATTCTATTTTCCACACGGTTGCAGCAAGAAGTTCAATTTTTTCTACAGTAGTAGGCCTATTCCTATTATTTGAACTAATATGTTGAGAACATCTGTTGATAATGTCGGGACTATACCTGTGTTGTGAAGATTGCAGAGGTGGAGACAATAGTTGTGGTGGTGGTGGAGGGAGAGATAGAAGTGATCGGCGGCTCAGAGGCTTTGATTGGCTCCAGCGGTCCACAGCTGAGGTTGGCAGCAAACCTGGGGACAGCAGTGAGGCTCCATGGTGTCAACAGCTGGACAATACACACACAGCTACATGCGAGTTACACCAGTCAAACTACTAGCAAAGGAACAAACCAATAACTTATAGGGCTTAAGCATTTCTCGCCAACACGATTTTTAGTGGCGTTATTCGCGAAAATTTATAAATATATTTCTCTTCCATTAACCCTCCAACTGGCAATGGGCAAACTCTGTAGTGCAAGGCATTTTTGGCAATTTTGCAGTCATATTTTTGAAAATTGATATATAAATTAAACCAATAGAGGTAACCTATTGAACCACATACTTGATATGTTGGTAATTAAATTATCAATTTGAAAATGGCACAATAAATATTTAGAATAGCAAGTTATATTAGTTATTGTATTATTAGTTATTTTATTATGTTAGTAGTTATTTTGGTTGACTCAAAAAAAAAACATTGCTGCATGAACCAACAATTTTTATATAAATTCAAGATATACAAAACGTTTGGAATGTATTTCCTTACATGGGAATCAGTGGTGTATCCAGGGATGGGGCCAGGCCCCTCCACGAAATTTATTGACATATACAGGTGTCCCACGTAAGGTGTCTCAAATTGATTAAGGAAAAATGGTTTAATGTAAAAATATGAAACAAAATTATTTCCTGCTAAATCGACCCCAAGGAATAACGTAAAAATATTTTCAGATACAGAGTGTGACAAAAACTGATGGTCACTAGTTTGAATATCGGAATTTTCAAATGTAAACATATGTTATGTTATACATAATTTTAAAGATATTTAATAGACAAACATTTTGACAAAAATAGAAATGAATTAACTTTTTCCGTTTCAAAAGGGCAGCAGTTTTTTTTTTTATCAATATGTTTTTAATACTCTGTGTTTCTTATACCAATGTACTTAGCCCTTCTCTGGTTGAATTTTCTTACTAGTTATGAAATAAGCTTTACTATGATATGCTACAAGTAAAGTTTTTTTTTTAATAATTAAAATAAAATAAAAGTTTTTTGAAAATACCAATTATGTTCATTGTTCAAAATGCTCAAATAGGCCTAGTTCAAAAAATTCAAATAGAACTTTTTTGAACAAAATAATTTTGGAAATCTTTTTTCAATCAATTTTCAAATAAAAAAAAATAAATTTTTTTGGGAATTTTTATTATTTCAAAAAACCGTTACTTGTAGCATATTACAGTAAAGCTAATCCCTTTGCCTTTACATTAGGGGATTCACCACGACGCTATCCTGAAAGTGTTAGGAAACCTGTGAATAGATTATACTTATGATTCTTTTACCAACTTGTATTTGTGTGTATGTTTGCTGTTTACCATGATTCTTGATGTTAAATACTATGTTATACGCAATGATGAATATACATTTTCTGATCGTTGATTACGTTAAGCGTCAAGAAATATCACTGCACCATCAATGGACTATATATTAAAAGTTGACATTTTTTTGCAGTGTTTTGTTCAAATTTAAAAGGGAGGAAATTGTAATATATCTTAAGAATATCCGTTGTAACTCTGATTTCCATATGTACATCACGCCACCATGTAATGACACGATCGTATGATTTTTAATAAACTCATTGGCTACAAACACAACCTGATCCCCTCCTCCACCTAGATCACACAACCGTCCATGTCCGTCCGTCCCTTCAACAGCCCAGTCTACCTCCAGAATTTGAACCTTAATCACCTGTTTGTGGCTGTGTTATAAACATGTAAAACTCTCGTATTTATTTAGTCCACTTCCAAAGTACATCATTTAACCCATGAACACAACAGTAACCATTGTTGAAGTCAAATTTTTGGCTAGGATTGGGTGGGGATGGATCTTGTTCAGGTCAAGCATAGTAATATGTTGTAGTGCATTTGTAGAACTAGCCCATGTCTTTAGGTCTATGACACCTATATGGCCTACTTCAGTGGCAGAGGATGCTTTTTTGACTTTCTTGACCTCCAGAGGTAGAGCTGAGGCAGGGGTAACACATTTTATACCACCCATGCTGTTGAAAATATTGAATCCATTGATGGTTGATGTATTAAAATATTAAAATTGGCATTGTCAAAGACGTATTGACAAAATATTTCCTGTGTAGCAGGCTCTTCAGGGTGGTAGATGAGTGATAGCTCTAGCTATTGAGCTGATGTTACCCCATTCAGTCTAGTATACAGGGTTAGGCAAAAGTCTGGAACCCCCCAGTTAACTTTTTAACGCGTTGCAGAAGGAAAACCAAACTTGGCACATATTTACAACATAAGAAATTGCACCTTTTCATCAAAGTTACAACTTTGCCCCAGCCCCCAAAATGGGGTATTTTGGGGGCAGCCCCAAATTTTCAAATGTAAACACCTATCATGTGACCCCTCATTTTAAAGGGTTTATCAAGAGAAATTGAATGGCGCAAACCAGAGGTCAATATCGCACTCCTAATCGAAATGGCAGTCATTTTAATTATTTAAGATGAGCAAGAAAGATAAAGACTGGACACCCCCAGTTAACTTTAAAAAATTAATATTTTAATACTGACCAAAAGGTGAATTCTCTTTTTTTATAAAGGTATGCTGAGTTTAGTTTTCCTTCTGTATCCTGTTAAAAAGTTAATAGGGGATATTTAAAAATGACTGCTATTTTGATAAGGGGTGCGATACTGACCTCTAGTTTGCGCCATTCAATTTGTCTTGAGAAACCCTTTAAAATGAGGGGTCACATGATAGGTGTTTACTTTTGAAAATTTGGGGCTGCCCCCACAATAACCCATTTTGGGGGCCGGGTACAAGTTCTAACTTTAATGAAAAATTACATTTCTTTATGTTGTAAACATGTGCCGAGTTTGGTTTTCCCACTTCCACACGTTATAAAGTTAACTGGGGGGTTCCAGACTTTATCGTGCTTGCTCATCTTAAATTAAAATGGCTGCTATTTTGATTATGGGTGTGATACTGACCTCTAGTTTGCGCCATTCAATTTGTCTGGACAAACCCTTTAAAATGAGGGGTCACATGATAGGTGTTTACATTTGAAAATTTGGGGCTGCCCCCAAAATACCCCATTTTGGGGGCTGAGGCAAAGTTGCAACTTTGATGAAAAAGTGCAATTTCTTATGTTGTAAATATGTGCGGAGTTTGGTTTTCCTACTGCAACGCGTTAAAAGGTTAACTGGGGGGTTCCAGACTTTTGCCTAACCTTGTATATTTTTCTGCAACATTTATGTACAACACCACTTTTCTTGTCTTTGAAAAGAAACCACCATCACTTTTTTCATCCTTTATAAAAATGCTAGCATTCAATAATCCTAGTATACCTTTTCACCAACCTCAGAATAATTGTCAACCACAACACTGTCACAAATCAAACATGTCATCGTCATTCTTCGTGATTACATTTTACACTTTAAATCAATAAGCTTATAAGTTTGTTGCTTTAAGCCCTTCAAATAAAAAAAAAATAATAAATCAACAAAATTTTGAAGATTGCTTGTAAAATTTTAGTTGTTTACTAATAACATTTTAACATTTGAAAATTAGTTCATATACTTTTATTATACAGTACAAGAGTGAGCCCATAAGACAGGTGTAACAAATTTTTCTGTAAGTTTATCTTAGTTACAGTATATTATTATGGCTACAACCGGTTGGTCCCTCAGCTTCCAGCCCTCGGCCTTTCTCCCCCATCACTTTTTACTACATTTATTATTAGTTTATATCACCCGAAGTAACATGAAACAATCACTTTACCACAATAAAACTATTTTTTTCTTAAACTCCCTGTATAGTTTTATTTCTTATACTCCCTGTATCTCGTTAAGTATTGATTTTAGGAACAAAATGAATAAAACCTTTTTTGTTGATAATTTAATGCTCTTTATTTTGTACATTTACATTTTTCCGCTAGAGGGTGTCGTTTTTGATATATTTGCAGATAACAAAAATAATTAGCATTCACAACCCCCTCCCACCAATAGCTTACACCCCACCGATCCGGACTTTAAGCACGGCCTCCTTTAACTACAGGCCGCGGCGTTCGAAGTGGCAACACCGCATCGGATGGCTGGATGGCTAAGCTACGCTACACCACACCAGTCAACGCTCGCGCTCACGTCGCGGAGGATTGGAACAAGCACGCGAATTATCTATTAATTTAGATGTTTTATATCTAATAACACTGATGTGTAGGAAAAGGAGTAAATAATTATGTGAGGCTTTCGTGTCAATACAAGAATGTAATACAATATTTATTAAAACCTTTTACGGTACATTGAACATGATTGAACGTATAAGTAGGCGCATGGGTACGTCCACAATCCACGCTGGTTTTCTGAGTCAGACTGTCGGCGCCGATTAAGTCAGACTTGGCGCACTTATCATCCCATGCTAGTAAACGTAAGCGGCCATAGTGCACCTGCGCGCCGATTTTCTGTGCGCAGGTAGTCTGACTCAGATTTTTACCGGAATGAATTGTTCATTCTGGTTTCAGACAACCTGCTTATATTTACGGACTGTTGATTTTTGTTTTTGTATTGAGTGTATAAGTTTTTCATTACATTAACCATGGATATTGACAAATTGCTATCAAATGTTCAACACGTTCCAGCAAATTGCAATAAGCGCATCAAAGTGCATAATTTTTAACAAATATAGTAACATTGTACCTTAAATTTATCTGCTAATTGAATTAAATTGTTTGTAATATTGAATTTTTACAAAATAAGCAATTTAACTTACGGAAATAAATTTAGTTACTTCAACGGGACATGCTATTTCCCAAGTTTTTGTAATATAATGCCAAGGGTTTTGTAATATTTTCCCAAGTTTTTGGCAAGCTTGTGCTCATTTTTAAGAAGGTGTTCAAGCTCATTCTTAAATATTAAAAAAAACCTGTTAGTTGTCGTCTGCAAGAAGTTAATAATATGTATAAAACCTGTATAAAATATGTATATATTATGTATGTATCAATCAATGTACAGTATCCCTTAAATAGGTCTCAACACAGACAGGTCCGGCTGACAACCTGCTTGCAT